AAAAAAAAAAAAAAAAAAAAAAACTTCCAAAAAAAAAAGTTACTACAATTCATATGCTCAAAAGTAGGGACATGATCAAAATGATAAACTTGATGAGCAGTATAAACCCATAGATACAAAAAGTTCAACTAACCTAAGCACATGTAACACAAGACTACCCTCTTAAATTTTTCAGTGCACAACATTGCGTTTTTCTTTTTTTTTGCAGTTTTGGCTGGGGCTGGGCTGGAACCCGCCATGCCAGGTATATGGGGCTGGCGCCCTACTCCTTGAGCCACAGGCGCCACCCACAACACTGCGTTAACGTAGGCACTGTATTGTACAGCAGGTGTGTAGAACTTACTCATCCCGGTAGCTGCAACTTTATGCACACTGAATAAGGAATCCCCTTTCCTCTTCCCTGCCATTCCTTGTCAATCACCATTCTATTTTCTGCTTCTGTAATTCTGATTGTTTTTGATATCTCATATGTATGTAAGTGAAATGATGCACTATTTATCCTTCTGTAACTGACTTAGTTCACTTTACACAGTGTCTTCTACATATATCCATGTTGTTGCAAATGGGAGGATTTCCTCCTTTTTTCAGACATCATATGTATATACCATTTTCTTTAGCCATTCATCTCTCAATGGACATTTGAGTTGTTTGCATCTCCTGGCTACAGTGAATGCACGGCAATCAACAGAGGAGTATAGCTATTTATCTCTTCCAGATTCCAATGTCAATTTTTTTGGATATATACCCAGAAGTGGAATTGGTAGATGATATGATAGTTCTATTTTTAATTTCTTGAGGAACCTCTGTACAGTTTTCCATCACGGTTACATCATCTTATATTCCTGACAGTGTCCAAGGGTTCTAATTTCTCCACATCCTCACTAACACAGTCTTTTGCTTTTTTGATAACAGCCATCCCAACAAGGTGTGAGGTTACAGCTCATTGTGGTTTTGATTTGTGTTTCTCTGATAATTAGTGATGCTGAGAACCCTTTCACACACCTTTTGGCCATTTTATTTACATGTCTTCTTTTGATAAATGTCTGAGTCTTTTGCCCACTTTTAAATCAGGCTGTTTGCTTTTTTGCTATTAAGTTGTAGGAGTCTGCTACCATCTAATCTTATTCCATATATTTAAGAGTGCTAGAGAATACTGGTATATGTCAGACATGAGATTTTAGTGTTTGCTGCATCCATACCATAAGGACACACATTGTTCTTTATGTATGTACTGGGTGCTACAGTTTTATCTTGTGATCCCAACACAATGGTCTCTGATAATTACGTATTGGATTATGTGATATGAATTCTGACTACCAAGAAACCCTATACAAAATATAATTAGATCCTCTCTTGAGAAATTCGAATATAAAACATTAAAAAGGTAAGTAAAACAGGAGACAGAGGAGCAGAGTTCAGCCAAATCCTCATTTAGTTATGTTTTAAAATAAGCACCTCTAATTCTCTCTCTGGGAGGTCATTCCTGAACAACTAGATGTCCTGAAAAACATTCGTTTTCCATGAAGCCTGGCTATGGATAGCCCCAGTTGTTGCTGGGGCTGCCCCCTTTCCTCATTATTCCCTGGTATACCTCACAATAACCCTCTTTAGCTAAGATGATTCGCTCCTATTTTTGTTCACTATAATGGGAAGCCCTAACAAGCAATAACTACAGGAGGGGTGATATAAAATGCTCCCAGATTTTAACCTCTATAATTTGGAATCGTACAAGACCATACTTCATCTTGTTTTGAAAAACATTTTTCAGTCCTCACTACTACAAAGTAACTTTTGTAAAATGGGTCTCTAAAATCATGAGTAATTTAAAAAATCCTTGAGCTAGTTTAATTATAAGTGGAAAAATCACAAAATGATTAAAGTATACATTGAGGCAACAAACAGAACATTGTGGAAAATACTATTTCAAGACTTAAGAATCCAGGATTCTAATTTTCATTCTCAATTTTGTTATATGACCTTTGAGAAGTCTGGGCCTATGTGATTTATACCTAAGGTCACGTCCATAAAACCAGAAAAATAATATATTATCTGCCTATAAACAGGACCAGGTGATTTATGTAGGTATTATATCTAGTTCCAAAGACAAAGATTCTCTCATTCAATAAACCAGATTCCACTATAACCTCACTCTTATATCCTGGGACAAGGAGACAGCACAGACTAAGCATATACCTCAAAGTGTCTGTTAACAGAAACGGACAGTAGTTCTGCAGTCCAACCACAACTAGAACATACTCTGATTTCATAAAATCCTGATCATCAAATCTTTAAAAATAAATAAAAGTATAGACAGTTTTAGGAACTAAATGGCATCATCAATTAGATATACTAAAAATAGTTCCCATTCTTTTTAATTTGTATAAAGTTTGAGTTGTTTTTATTTTTATTTTTTATTTCAGGCTAATATGTGGATACAAACGATCAGGTTACAATATTTGCATTTGTTAGGTAAAGTCCAAATTGTAGCTGAGCCCTTCATCCAGGTGAATGGTTTTATATTTAAATAATACTTATCTCAAAACAGTAAAATTATTCTGTCAAACAAAAGAATTTTGAAAAATGTTTCAATCCTTCATATTATGACTTTATCCATTTGGTTTTTATTTGAAAAGAAATTTCTCTTTTGTAGTGTTTCTAACTTACTAGGTGGTAGTATTACTAAATTTTATTCAGGTGGCAATGAACTATTTCCCACTTACTATTTTTATTCCACTTAAACAATTTCTCTTAAAAAAATTCAATGAACTATTTCTCACCTACTATTTTTATTCCATTTAAACAATTTCTCACAGATATATAACACTAGAAGTGATTTTTAGAAAGATAATCTTTTATCAATAGCATGAGAAACACTACTGTTCATTCCAGTTCTAGAACACAAATAAACAACCACCTGTCCCCACTGAGTCATGCTGCTTCCAGTCACGTGTTAGGTCTGTACCTCTGCTTCCAGGTGATAAGCATTGTCCACTCTCCTAAAGTCCTTTGTCACAGTCACATTTTCTGGCTGAAACAGAAAGTCCAAGAGTCTGATTACCAGATGTTTGACACTGAATGCAATTATCCACAATATAAATTAGAAACTCAAAATTATTAAAATCAGGGAGATATAAAGTGTGAAAAAAACTACTTTGCCTGATGTTTAAAAAGTGCCTAAATAATAATTCAGAATAATGAATGAATTCAGAATGAATAACAATTCAGAAACCTACAAATATTTGCCTAAAATTTCATCGGAAGTGTCATTCCATTTATAGTAATTTTCACATTAGTTTATAAAAAAATATTGATTTAGGGTGATATATTAGTATATGAACAACTGGTTGTACATAAAGCATACATAATGTTGAGTTAGAGTTTAAAAAATTTTTAATTATAAATAATTTATTATAAATTTACTACACACCTATCACATGGAACTTTGGGCCATTTTTTGAGCCTTAGTTTCTACATTTATATTAATAAAATCAAGTTAATATGTATATCATATAAAATTGTTTTGAGCATTTAATGCAAAGTTGTGTATATAAAGTACTTGACATAGAGATGGCACTCACCAAAAGTAACTATAGATGCTATAGTATTATGATAAAATGCTATAATATAAATCCTTCTTAAAAGGCTAGTTTATTTTAAAACAGTAGTATTAATACTTTTTAGTTTGTAGGGTAAATACGGGGTACTTAATTCTGATAAAGTTAAATTTCTAACTTTTTTCTTTTTCTTTTTTTTGTGAGACCGTCTCATTCTGTTGTCCAGCCTAGATAGAGTGCCACAGCATCAGCCTAGCTCACAGCAACCTCAAACTCAGAGGTTCCAGCAATCCTCCTGTCTCATCCACCCAATTAGCTGAGAACTACAGGTACCTGATACAACATCTGGCTATTTTTTTTTTTTTTTTTTTTTGTATTTTTAGTAGAGACAGGGTTTCACTCTTGCCCAGACTGGTCTCTAACTCCAGAGCTCATCCTCCCACCTTGGCCTCTCAGAGTGCTAGGATTACAGTCATAAGCCACTTCACTTGGCCTCCAAAGGGTTTTTAAATTCAGTGAAATTCAATTGTTAGGTACTCTCATCTTTAGGATCGAGCAAAATTTATGTTTTATATAGCTTTTATTTCTCTAAATATATACTTAATAAACATACAATGATTGTTGTGCAAAACAACAATTAAATTATAAGTTATTTTACAGAGGGTATGGCTGCATCTAAATTTTAAGATTGCTAATTACTAATTAGTAATTACTAAACCAATTACAAGCAGCTTATGTTATTTAGTATTATGTTATTTAGTTATTTTAAGATTACTAATTACTGGCTCGGCGCCTATAGCTCAACCGGCTAAGGCGCCAGCCATGTACACCTAAGGTGGCGGGTTTGAATCCCCAGCTCGGACCCGCCAAACAACAACGACGGCTGCAACCAAAAAATAGCCGGGCGTTGTGGCGGGTGCCTGTGGTCCCAGCAACTTGGGAGGCAGAGGCAGGAGACTCGCTTGAGCCCAGGAGTTGGAGGTTGCTGTGAGCTGTAATGCCACGGCACTCTGCCCAGGGGGACAGCTTGAGGCTCTGTCTCAAAAAAAAAAAAAAAAAAAATTACTAATTACTATTTAGTAATTACTAAACTAGTATTTAGTATTATGTTATTTAGTTATTTTAGTAATTACTAAACTAGTATTTAGTTATTTAATAATTACTAAACTAGTATTTAGTATTATGTTATTTAGTTATTTTAAGATTACTAATTACTATTTAGTAATTACTAAACTAATTACAAGCAGCTTATGTTATCCAGAAAATTTCTAAAAAACTTTAATCTGAGTATCTGAATTCAAGTTACAGCTCTGATGTCTGTCACTCCCAAGAGAATACTAATGCAATTTTTATTATAAAGATAATGCTGACTAACTGGAGAAAATCTGGAATACGGATAAGTACAACACAGTCTAGAGTCCTGTTATCCTTAAGAGATGTGTTCCAAGACCCCCAGTGGACGCCTGCAACTATGGACACCACCAAACCCTGTCCATACGGTTTCTTGCTCAGATAACTGAGAAGGCTACTTCGTGATTAATGTGCCAGTGGATATACAGCATGGAGAGCACGGACAAAGGATGATTTGCATCCTGGGGGGGGGGGCGCTGCAAGGTGCTGCAAGATCTCACTGTGCTACCCAGAATGCTGGGCAATTTAAAATTCAGGAAATATTTATTTCTGGAAGTTTCCCTTTAATATCTTCAGACTGAAGATGACTACAGGTAATTAAACTGTGGATAAGAGGGGACCACTGCACTGTACTGAAGATAGCATCTGTAATCAGCATTTTTCACATGATTAACATTAAACTTTTCTGTTATCTAATACAATAGAACCTCTGTATGTTGACCACCCAAGGGACTGTAACAAATTGGTCAAAACATGGGGTTGGTCAATGTAAGGAACAAGGCCTGCTGTATTGATATGTTCATGTGGTGCATGTCTGGTGTATGAAAATTAGGTCCCTTTAAGGAAGTCGTCAGTGTAGGAAGTTTATTCTGTCTTATGACATGTAAACATATCTTCCTCCCATTTCTGGATATCTCTTTTTTCATTTTTCACCACTTCATGTGATAAACACATGTAAAATTTCTGATAGAAGAATTATTTTTTCTGATAGAAGAATTATTAGAGAAATAATTTTTAAAAGATAGTTACATGTTCATTAAAGAAAATCCAATACTAGGTGGCTCATGCCTCTAATCCCAGCACTCTAGGAGGCCAAGGCGGGTGGATTGCCTGAGCTCCTAAGTTCAAGACTGAGCAAGAGCAAGACCCTATTCTAAAAAAAATAGGTGGGTGTTGTGGTGAGTGCCTGTAGTCCCAGCTACTTGGGAGGCTAAGGCAAGAGGATCAGTTGAGCCCAAGAGTTTGAGGTTGCTATGAGCTATGACTCCACAGCACTCTAGCCAGGGCTTGAGATTTTGTCTCAAGAAACAAAACAAAACACCTCAAAGCCAGCATTGGTTCATTACCATTAACTAAATCCCCAACTTTATTTGGATTTCACCAGCTTTTCCAGTGACATCCTTTTTACTACTCCAGGATCAACTCCAAGATACCGCATTGCAATAATTCATCATGTCTCCTTGGTCTCCTCTAGTCTTGACAATTTCTCAGCCTTGTCTTTTTTTCATGACCTTGAGTGTGTTTTGGTCATGTAGTTTGCAGACTATCCCTCAGTTTGGGCTTGTTTGACGTTTTTGTAGACTGAGGTTATAAATTTTAGGGAAGAACCCCGCAGAGGTGAAGCTGCAGTGCCTTTCTCATCACAACACACCCGCAGGACATGGTGACGTCAGGTTACTCACCTCGTGAACCTGGTCACTTGTTAAGGCAGTGTTTGTTAGGTTCCTCCACCAAACAGTTACTTTTTTCCCTCTTCCCATGTTTTATTAGTGAGTGGCAAGTGACTAAGTATGGACCACACTAACTCAATCAACACTACTTTAGTTTGCTGCTCAGACTGTCCCAGCTTTGGCCACTGGCATTTCCTCTGGGTTAGCTCGCACATCCTGTTGACGTACCCCAGCCTTTACTTTTTGAGCATTTCCTTACTTTCTGGCATAAGATGCTACAGGCTCGTGCAGTTTCCCTGCCCCAGCCCTGCAATCAGCCATTTTTTCAAGAAGCACAGTACCTTTTCTTTGAGATTGGTGTTTAGAAGATCTGAATGCACACTGTTTACTGCTACTGGGGTGTCATTCCTTCCACTGGCCTCCCTCAGTGGACAGAGTCAGGTAACATACAGATATACACACACGTATGTGCAGTGCCAGTGCACATGTATACACAGATTCACAATAGTCTCTATACCTTTCCACCTGTGTATAAGCAAAACTGGACATGAGTTCACACTGGCATGAGTTAACACTTAACTGAGTATCACAGAGTTCACGCTAACCTTCCTTTTCTATCTGTCACTTTCCTCCCCAGGAGTGAGAAACCTGGCTCCCTCCATCCCATGTTGTCATTTAACATACCCCTCTGTTCCTTGCAGACAGAAATCTGTTCAGTAAGAGTGACAGAGGATAACTGGCCTTACAAATGTTTTATAAAGATGTAATAATTTAAACAGTGCAGTATAGGCAAAATGGCTATATGCTTCTGGCCAAAAGAGCCATTTGAGAGAGAGCAGTGAAAAGACTTTGTGCAGGCATACTTGTGAGAAACTGAGGCAGAATCCCATATGGCTGGGTTTGTTGTGGGCCATATGACCAAGGCTCTGGCTGGAACGGCATTTCCAGAGATGTCCAGACTGTCTTAAGGAATTAAGGTTGACTTTATAAGGCCAATAAAAAAGCCCTTTGGAAAACTGGCCAGA